AGCTGATGAAAACAAGAACCTTACATTACCATGTATTTGCATATGCATAATGCCTAGCTCATGTTGAGTAATGGTTTCCCTGTTCTCTAATGCCCTGCTCTTGATAACTGTGTCTCACACTTAGGTCATTACTTTTGCTTGAGAAACAGTCTGGTCAAATGAATGCCAGCAGAGTGGTAAGAGACATAGCAACTCTGTTGTGAGATAGTTGATGGAGAACGGATCGACGACAAAAAGAAAAGACTAGAAGGAGGCATTATGAGTCTTACCAGTCTGCAGAGAGACACTGTAGGTTTGATCTCTATGGCTCCCAAAGGTAATGATTAATGAACGCTAATTTCTAGTGACTGTCAGGCTCCCTGGGAGGGCTTCTTAGCTGTAGCCTATGTGTGCTCCCTGGGGCTGAGACGCCCTTCCTGTCTTGTCCACCACTCAATTCCTAATGCCAGTGACTGTGCCTGGCATGTGGTAGGCTCCCAGCAGGTATCTGCTGAATGAGTAAGGGGAAGAAGGGACTCAGTTGTAGCTGGCATTTGTGGCACAGACCCTGCCCTTGCCTTAGAAATGGATGAATATTTATCTGGTGTTTTGGAAAGGTAATATATAAATTTTAAACTGGTAAGTTTAGTCTGTCTCTATCATAAGGAGTCTGGAGGGGGAGTAAGTGATTAAAAGCAGATGTAGGAGGCCAGAATGTTTCTTTTACCATGTTCTAACAGCTCCAAGTTAATTAAACCACTTTTCTTAAGAGACATTGAAGAGGCCATTTTAGGATTTATTTGAAATCACTCAAGTATGCTTATTCGAGCATTAACCATCCCAACTCAGCCCCGTCATTTTCTTGAGATCTTTGCCATAGCTCTGGCCTACACAGGACCCAGATTTCTGTGACCTTAAATACAATTCTAGAGGTTGGTATTTAATACCTAATTGTTCATGGTTTGCTCCACTGAGACAAGCTTTTTGAAGATAAAACTTTTTTTTTTTCTTGTATTCTTCCAGATACATAACAGGAACCCAGTGAGGGACGAATTACTCAATTGCTTGACTCACTGAAACACTAGTTGAGAGGGAGCGTTCATGAAGTAATGTCTGCTCAGCCATTCAGTTTGGTTTGCCCCGACCATCTGTAGCTCCTCTCTGGAATGCCCCAATGGATATGAAAATTAATCTCCTGTCAGCACTCAATTAAGACATTAACAGGTTCTCTGTCCTGTACACCCAAGTTAGGCATTGTGGCCTTTACTACAGCCTGCCTTTTTGGCTAGGTTAATGCTTTGTACACAGCTGAGTCTTTGTATATACGGTGAAATGGTTATTAACTGTTGAATGATTAAATTCTTGGGCCCAAACAGCTTTCTTAGTTTAACTTCTAAAGATTGCCAGGACCGTAGCTGCCAATTTCTAAGCCCAAGTGTGATAAGATTCAGTACATCAGAAACATAAGAGTCCCAGGGACATTTATACTACATATGAACAACACTGCAATGTCTGGAATGTATTTATACTTTTAAAAGCATGTGTTATTTTCTAGAGTTTGAAGGTAACTGTGACTCCATTATTTTTTTAAATAACCTTCCATGTGGTCCCATTCATCTCAATTTCCTATAAATCTGGGCCCTGACAGCCCAAATTAATGTGACTAAGTGGAAATATTTATGCTCTTATGGAGGAAGAAATATACACAATACATACTGTCATTGATCATATTCCCTCATGTATAGTCTATAACAACAATTCCACAAATATGTAAGACCTTGGCTGTCCCAGTTTAAGCTCTGGTTGTTTCTTTGGTGGCATGATTTAATATAGTGCTATAACTCATTGCTGATACGATTTTACTTCACTTTACAGTAACTATTACTGACAGATAAGTAGGCACCCTGCACGGGTGGCCAGTGAAATGTGAATTTAGTGTAATTATTTTTAGCTCCCACAAACAACCACATTAACTAATAAGAGCTGCAGAAATAAAAGCAAAGTATTGCCACTCTTTGCTAATTATCTTCTTTTCTTCCAACTCTAATCAAGAGAACCCTCTTGTTCAGTCTACCTTTTAGCCTGCTTTTTGCAGAGGAAGCCATCTGATACCTGGGGAAACAATCCCTCCATTTTTCACAAGCTACATATGGAATGTTGTATCTTGTTGCTTAGTGGCAATGACCTAAAATATCACCTTTAAATATCACCCATCCATTCATTAAGCAAATATTTATGAAACAGGCCTGTTATAGGCACAAGAGGGGAAACAAGTGAGTCTCGTGAATCCACTTCCAAGGGGCTCACAAGAATCCGCCATGTTCTATCTTGTCTTTAAATGGTTTATCAGCAATGTCAGCAAAAGGCATGTGGTAAGAGCTAATTAGCTCATCGAGGAATGAAATAGTTCTTCCTCATATGCATTAAATAAAAATTGAGCTTGACATTCTGAGCAGAAACTGCTCTTTGTGGCTAGCTCTAAGAGCTAGAAGGAATCTGCTTCCTTCTTGGGCTGCCTTTGTTGGAGACGTTGATGCTCAGTGTGGTCTCTAGCTGGCAGCATCTGCATCTTGGTGAGAAATATAGATAACTAAGTCCCTTCCCTGGACCACTAAATCAAAATCTGCCTTGTCACCAGATCCCCAGGGAACATATTTATGCACTGAAGTTCAAAAATTCCTCATCTAATCCCATTGTCTCTTTTTGTGTATACACTGTCTGAGGACTCTTAAAATGCAGATTGCTGGACTCCACCCTGGCTTTGTATTATCCGATCAAAGCCTGAGAATTTGCACATGGGCCAAACTCCCAGAAGATTCAAGGGCTGCCGGTTGAGAACTTATTTTGATCATCCTTGGTCATGAGATTGTCCTTGTAATTCCCTAATACCAGGGGATATCAGGAGGAAGAGGAAATAAGAAATCGGACTATCCAGACAGAGATGACTTGAACATGTATTGTTTTTAAAATTTGAGATGAAATTAGCTTGCCTACCCACTAGTCAGTTCCCTTGGGAAACTGAGTTTCCTGATGGGATAAATGTGAACTCCAGCGAGAGTGGTCAGGCTGGTTTTCCTTTGCCTGCACTGGATTCATGAACATGACCATGAAACTGTTCCCTGGGGAATACTGGCTGTCAGGAGGGATGGACCCACACCTGGGTGGCTCTTTAGACTAGTCTGCAGTTCCTGCATTGAGACAGCAGAAAAGAAGTTGTGCGCTACTCAGGATGTTCAGCCATTTGATGTGCAGCTATATGAGAAAATACAGTATTGAGAGATTTGGTCCATGGCATACATGTTCAGCCACAGCATTCAATCCAGTGTTACTAACTGTGGGCTTCTAAGGCCTTAGGAATGATGGAGAAAAGGGATTGAGGGAGTAATAAGTTGAGAAATAGGTTTGGAACAATGTGGTGGTGAGTCTTCAATGTCTTATTAAGGAGTTAGGATTCTATCTGTTGTTTTTTTTCCTCTTCATGCCGGGGGCCAACCAGCCTCAGCAGTGTCAGGGTTCCGAAGGACGGGATACCTGGAAGGCGCAGTAATGACTCAAAAACAATGCTCGTGCAAGCTGGCAGGTCACTTTGGGCTTCTGCAGTTGCTAAGTAGCTTCTTCGCTACAGTTTCTTTAGCTTCCCTAGCTTCTGCTTTTGCCCTGGTAACCTCAGGCTTTTGTTATCATAAGCAAGGGGGAACAGAAAGGAAAGGGGAAATCACCCAATACAAAATATTCTCATGATTCCAAAGATTATTCTTAGAAAATCACCAATATATTCTTCATCATCTTTTACTAAACACAGGAACTATCCCAAACTTAACACCAAAGCAAGCATAATCTATTTTTATTATTAGTGATTATACAGTCTTCTGAGCACTTGACCCAGAGGATAACAACATGCAATTTCACAAAAAAAGATAAAAATAAGAACGGTGGTCAATGTACCAGACAGTCATTTCCTTCTCACACAGCCTGCTCTGACCTCAAGACCCATGCAACCGCCTAAGTTCCTCCTCAGCCCTCTGCAAACACCAAGCCTCATGACTGGTGGGCCACAATGACCTCAGACAAGAAATCTGTCCCTGCAAGTCAGCAACTTCTGTCCTTCTATATCCCAACAATTCCAAGGAAGACCTGATCCAATTTTTAGAGCTTCCATGAAAGGAAGCTCACCTTTCTTGGCAGCTCTTTTTAATCTAGGAACCCAATAAAACTTGTAGCAATCACTCCATCAATTGCCACATTGTCTCCACACTCCTTCAGGAGGAATCAAAAATATCTGGATTAAAGTTGTCATCTCCCTTTCTTGGTGGAGGCCACTATTTTCCTCCTATTCAGGTTCCCACACTTTCAGTTTGTCATCCCATCTATATGTTACTCCATCCACAGTCTTCAGCCAACACCCCTTAGGGTCTCAAGTTTTACACAATGCCCTTGGAATATCCTCAGAAACTGAATTATTCATTATGGCCAATTTGAGTCCAATGTGTTGATACACATCATAACATGTGCTATAGTTGACCACACATTTGGTATAGTTTATCCAAGCCTGAAAAGCTTCCCCAGGCTGCAGGTTTTTTTCCCATGACCTGCATAACTGCCTTAACCCCAGCCTGGGTGATCATCTCTGTATAATTTCCTGTGAAATTTACTTTACTCCTTTCCTGTATCACAGAAATAACTATTGATCTAGGAACACAGAACATGAAGATCAGATAGAAGAAAAAGACTAGTATTACAAGAAGTATTTATATGGAAGAGGACATGATATGTGCATGCCATAAAGCATGACCTTGGGACACGTAGGCATTTCTGCCTTGGCCCTCTAGAGGCATGTTAAGCAGAAGATCCGGATGGGAACACATGGAGGGTTGATGGTCCACAATCTCGGGTCTTCTTTTCTCCAATCTCTGCTAGCAGCATGTCAGCCATCTTATATGCCGTCCCCCGCATTGTCATGACCTTTTTTTCAAGTATAATTGTCCTTACCATTGTGTGTATACTTTCTTTTTTACTTTTAGGATTAAACATGAAAACATTGTTGCCCTGGAAGATATTTATGAGAGCCCGAATCACCTGTACTTGGTCATGCAACTGTAAGTACCTTGTTTGATGAATGCTGAGGGGTGTGAATGCTGGTACCCAAACAAATAAATGCTGTGGGCCATGTGAGGCGACAAGAAATGATGAGTCTATAGGGCACTGGAGAGCAAAGATCATCCCCATACAGGGCACCCACCCAGGCCTCTTCAGACCTGAGCAGGCCCATTCTGTGGCTGTTAAATCTCACAGTTGGACTCCATTCTCCTATTGCACTGTGCCTCTGTGGCTTTCTCATGTGCCAGGGCCAAATGTTGCCTAAAGACACTTCAGTGAGCCAAGTATAAGGAACACATAGCTCTCATCTCTAGGACAGACTCCCACCCCATCTTCATTTCCAGGGATGCCGGGGGAGGAAAGCAGATGGCATCCGTGCACTCTGTCCCTTCCCTTCCCTCCCTTTGGTGGATAGTCACACTCACTTGTGACTGAACTGGGGATTCATGACAGACACAGAAAAGGAAGGTATTACTGGAGTCAGATGGTGACATTGCCACCTCCATTAAGTTGTCCCTATAATCCATGAATACATAGGATTTCCAAGACAGGGAGGAAGTGAGAATATCAGATAGAGATGACTTACAGCATATTTTTTTAAATTTGAGGTAAAATTATCTTTCTTACTACATAAATGCTTTACTTGAAGTGTGTGATTGTGAGGAACATCCGTTCTGTGTTTACTAGAATTAAATATTAGGAATCTCTCAGAACGTTAGGCCATCTCTATGACCTGAAGAAGTAGATGCTGGAACACCACATTATTGAGTCCTGAGACTGAGAAGATTGTTGTTGAAGATAAAAACAGAGACAATGAATTTATTAATGAGGTTCAGACTCTGACTAGCCAAAGATGTGCAGAAGAAGTGGTGGTTAGGAAGGCTAGGGAATGGGTTTTCATGTTTTTTCTTCCTTATGGATGTTTGCATAACTATCTCCTAGTGATCATTTTGATACAAAGAAATTGTCCCATCAGTTCATTTTTTTAATTATTTCACTACTTTTAAAATATTTTCATGGGTGGTAGTATTTTAGATAAATAATTTGGCGATGTCCCAGTTGGAGGTGTGTCTGGTTTTCTTTGACATCAATAGTAAGTCAGGGTAAGCAGCTGTTTCATTGTTTAGTATAGTGGGAACTGCCCAGTTACCCAGGAATCTTTCTTAGTTCTCTGGTCTTTTGTTAGTTGTAGATACTGCACATTTCTGTTTTTTTCTTTCCTAACTAGTAATAATTCTCCCCAGATTTAGAGATAGTCACTAAAAACGCTTCTAACTTTGTTTTGTATAGTGTCTCCTCTCTAAAGATATAAATGAGTCATTTTCAAATATTGATTGCCTAGTAGGAAGAATATAACATTTTGGTGATGAGTAAAAGCCCCATAAAATGTCATCTGTGTATTGAACTGCTTGGCTTTTTTTATTATTATTATTGGTAATGCAAAATGACTAACACCAGAGCCAGAACCTCAAGGTCTTTGCATTTATTTACTCCAGGGTTGTGTGTATGGAAATATACCACATATCACTTTAAGTATCCCAGAGATGGAAATTTCATCTGTGCCACTGACTAGCTGGGTGAATTTGGGCAAATGACCAGGCCTCACTGAGGACCAATTTCTATAATGGGCAAAGAAGAAGATGGCAGTGTTTACTTTAGAGATGGGGTGGGGAATGTGTGAGAAATGGTCATGAAGAACAGGGCCTCGGTATGTGCAGGTTTCTTTATGGACGTCTGTATCATTTCATCAGAATGTCTCTGCAGATGCTCTTCAGATTTTAATGAGATGAAGTCCAAATAGACTTCAGTTTTGCGTCTCTGAATGACTTGGTCGTGTGCTCACCAGCAGAAGCATATGTAAAGAGGAGTTAGCCCAAGAACAGCCAAGTGTCCAGAATAGACCCAGTTGTAGACCAAAGCCTGGAGAGTCTGTAGTTGGCACAGAAATCGCAGTCTCACTCTGTGTTTCTCAGTTGAGAACGTCTTCTCTTGGTGGCTGCTAGAGGAAGCGTCATTAACATGGACCACACTTATGGAGACTTCTTAGTATCTCAGAGAGGAATTAGGCAGGAACCAGCCTACCTTTGGTGGGAGCACTGGGTTGATGTGTTAGGGAAATCCAGCACAGAATCCTGATCTAAACATGATGGATGTTTGAATTACCTAAAGAACAAGGCTGTGTGTCTGCACTGTTCAACAGTTTAGAAGCACCAGATATGCCAATTACAACATGTTAACTTGTACCCATTCATGTTTCTTTGGTTTTCATTGGTCTTTTAGAAATCAGTTTTATTGACATGTAAATCACACAGAATATATTGCATTTAATTGAACTGGATGTCTCAGGGATGAACATAACACCACTATTTCTGATCCTCCCCTAAAAGATTCCTTTCCTTGTGTCCCTTTCAACCTCACCATGGTCCAATCAATGATTTAACTTTCACGAGAGTTTTTTTTTATTCTAAAATATAGAAATGGAGTAATATAGTGTGCACTCATTTGCGTCTGACTTAATGCACTCACATGATGGCCTATATTCACTGCCTTTGCTGAAGAAAGCTTTAATTTTCTCAACTGCTTTGGTAGCTTTGTCAAAAATCAGTTGCCTGGGCCAGCGAGATGGCTCAGCAGGTGAAGTGCTTGCTGCCAAGCCTGACCACCTGAGCTCAATCCTTAGGTCATACATGGTAGAGAGCGAGAACCAACCGCACAAGTTGTTTTCTGAACTCCACAAGTGTGCAATGGCACATGCAAAACACACACACACACACACACCGCACACACGCACGCAAGCATGATGAATGTTTTAGTGAAAGTATTACTTGATCATATTTTTGTACTCATTATTCTATTCTCTGTATCTGTCCTTGTGTCAATATTATATAATATTACAGCTCCAAAGGACATCTTAGATCTAGGTGTACTTTATTCCTACATTACATTATAATGCCCTTTTATCCTTTAATATTTTATAAAATGACTTTGGCATTCTTAAAATAGATTGTTCATATAAATTTTTAAATCAAATTTTGAGACTTGTTTGTAGAAATCTTGTGTGGAAATGCATGGAATCTAAATACAAGTTTGAGAACAATTGACAACTTGAATTTGAGCTTTAATTCATAAATACAACTTATTTCTCTGTTTAGGTCTTTTATTAAACTTAGTCTACATTTTACAGTTTTCAGCATGTGGGGCTTTGATATCTTTGCTCAGTTTAATCTGAAATATTTCATTTTATTGGTCCTGTTGTAACTGGATGTTATTTCATAATTCTAGTTGCTTTCTAGTGGGTAAAATACAATGAACTTTTATAAGTGATCCCCATGGTAGTTCAAGTAGTTATTTTATGGTTTTCTTTTAGCCTTTTCTGCACTGAATTCTTGCTCATTCCCAAAAGAATTCTATGTAGCAAAACTTTAATAATTTAGTTTTAATCACCAAGTGTATTTTAAGGTAACATTATATGTCTTTGAAATAACTTTTGTCATATATTTTGGGAATTCATATAAAACAACTCTGATCTTTCCTCTCTTCCATGATCTCAATGAAATGTTTTTAAAGTAGTGATAAAAAAGTAAGAAGAAAAAGCAATGACGGAACCCCCTGGATGGATCAGAATACAGTACTAGTGGAAAGATTTCGACTTGCTTTGGGGATTTTGTAGACTGTGTGGTTATTTCGTCATTGGATTTGGTTTTATTTGCCAAGGGCTGATAGCATTTTACTCCTGAAGCCTGTGGCGTGTACGTTTTGGGGTCTGGATCAGTGGGAAGTGGTTTTGTTCTTTCGGTTTTGTTTGCTTGTTTGTGTTTGCCTTCATTTTTGAGTCACTTGAAAAGTCCTTGATTTCTAAATATGTAGGATTTAGAATACAACATCTGGGAGTAAGGGATTTCACAACATTTGTGCCAGAGAGAGTTTTAGTTTCCTAGGAAACGTCACCCTCAGCACCGAGGCTCCTCAGCACTCTAACTCTATTGCTTTTATAATTGCTATCTCAATTCTGAGGGTGGGGTGTACTTGTCCTATGCTGCTGCAGGAAAGATGAATTGTTTAGGGTATGTTTATGTACATTTTATTTGTGTTTTTGACAAATATATTTATTGAGAATGCTATTTGGGGGATAATCTTCTATAGATAGTAAGAGACTGAGATTACACTGATATAATTTATAGATGAAAAGTCAGTTTAAGTTTATTTCTCATCTATCATTGGTTGTAGACTCTCAGTCCTGTATTTGGAAATGATAAAGGGCCACCCCCCTCACTCTTCCCCCTTCACATCTATAGTGGGTTGAATAAACTGCAAGATGATGCAATAAAGTATACATTTAAAGGGCTGCAGAGATGGTTCTGTGGGCAAAGTGCTTGCCATGCAAGCATGAGGACCTGTGTTCATATTCTTCAAACCCACATAAGGCTAGATACAACAGCACACATTTATAATCCCAGTGTTCCTACTGCAACATGAGAGATAAAGACAGGAGTGTAGTTCGATTTCCTTTTACTTTAGCCCCACATTGGAATGCCAAAATGTTGTTGGTTGTTTTTGATCTTTTTCTTCTGGGGACCTGCCACCCAGCTCCCAAATAAATCACACACGGAGGCTTATTCTTAATTATAAATGCCTGGCCTTGGCTTGGCTTATTTCTTGACAGCTTTTCTTAACTTTGAATTATCCCAGCTACCTTTTGCCTTTGGGCATTTTTCCTTTTCTTACTTCTGTAAATCTTACTTTCACTCTTACTCCATCGCTGACTGGGTGGCTGGGTGGCTGGCCCCTAGCATCCTCCTCCTTCGTCTTGCTCTTCTCCTTTTTCATCCCAGATTTCTCCTTCTATTTATTCTCTCTGCCTGCCATCCCCACCTATCCTTTTTCCTGCCTCACTATTGGCCATTCAGTTCTTTATTAGACCATCAGGTGTTTTAGACAGGCACAGTAATACAGCTTCACAGAGTTAAACAAATGCAACCTAAAAGAATGCAATAAATCT